ATATCTATTAAGACTTATGTTTATAAAAAGTAATAAATTAAATAAATAATCAGAATATCTTATGAAATAATCATGCAGTTTTGTTAAGTTAGTTTTCAATTAAGCAATTAAAATCAATCTTTATTTTAATCTCTTCATTTAGCTTACTGTTCTTTGTTTGGATTATTAATTTAATGTAGTATCATTTAACATTAAATCTCTATAACAGTTTTTTTTAACGAGATCTCAATAAATACATTTCCTTGAAAGGGAATACTTTTGAAAAACTTGTATCAATCAAGAAATCAAAAGAAGAATAAAGGAAAAAAAAGATGTAATTAAAAAAATATAATAATTGTTGTAATGTTCTTTATGAATAATAATTATCACTTTTACTTAAGGTCTTCTAAAATGCAACTTCCTTTTTGTTTAAACAATGTCTTTAAATCAATACCTGATTGATTGATAAACTCTCCTCTCAAAATTAGTGCTCCTTATGCTTAAAATATAGCCTATTATGATATAAGGAGTGTGGTGATGTAATTGGAGGCTAAAAATATCAAATAAAATAATATTACCTTCTTATAATGGACAATTTTATTAGAGAGGAATATTAAATTATGCAAGAACATTATCAGAGGACTTAATTTCTTATCCTGTCTTAACAACCCATAGACGGATAGCATTATCTCTACTAACAGAAGCTAATGTATTTCCATCAGGAGAGAAACAGACTGACTAAACAGTATTACTATGACCATCTAATTTGGCATTTTATTATTAAATATTATGATATAGAACTTTTAAATGCATGAATACAATAATATCTTAAATCTTTGTATACTGTATTTTTGGTATTATTCTTATCATAACCAAGCATTTTCTCTCAATTTATATTTAGAATGTGATTAGTACCAGATTTATAAAGTAGATTCTACAACTAAATCTTTCAGCATTTATCATTTCTAAGTTTTTTATTCTTCGTATTTTTTGTGAGTCAATATATTCTAATAATCACAAAATAATTTTTTTCTGAACTCATATTTAATTAACAGGAATACTATTATTTTTTATTTAATTGAAAAATTTTTATTAGTAAAATACTTATTTTGGAAATTTAAGAGAAAATACCCAAACATTTAAGGGTGAATAATATGAAGGCTTTTTTATATATTTAAATAATTAATCGTCCAATTTATCTTAGGAGGTTGTTATAGAGAAGATAAATTTTATTAAGATTATCCATTATTTCCTTTTTAATTCTACAATTTAGGTGCAATTTCTTAATTTAATTGTAAAATATAACCAGTTGATGAATTTTTAAAGATTGAAAGGATATTATTGTTGTATAGATATTAATTAATTTTGTAAAAATCATTTTGAAGGGACCACAGGGATTATACATTAAGTAATAACTGTTTATTATTTGATGTATGTAAAATTTCACGTTGAGCTCAAGTTAATCAATAATTAAGATTCATATATAATACGGTTAGAGAAGATATAGTTATCTCCTTAAATCTTAATAATATATAAAAATATACTACTTTTTAATGATTAATATATTTTTTTTTAAAGTTTTTAATATCTTTGGCAATTAACAGGTGATTGATACATTATCTTGAATTGAGAGTAATGTTAAAATTAATCAATATCATATTTTTTTAAGTTTATAATATAAAATTAACATTA